GGCTGGCTAATTAATTTTTTGATAAGGGTCTCCACTATGTGCTCAGGCTGTCTCAACTCCGTGGCCATCCTCAGCCCTCACTTCCCCAAAGCACTGGGAAACAGACTGAGCACCACTGTGATCTCATTACAGTTTTAATTATATACTCAGTTTATATTTGATTGGTCTGCTACTAGCTCGTACTCAGGACAGACTATATTGGATAATAAAGGTCCACCCAGGTAACAATAAACATTGAACAAATGAAATAAAATAACACAAATGATACAATAAACAAAAGAAAAAAATGTGGTACTAAAAATTATCTTAGGGAGAAGCATGATAATTTTTTCTGAGACAGTTTCCTCCACTCAGACTTGAGTGCAGTGGGCACGATCAAAGCTCCATCTGCAACTACAACTCCTGGGCTTCAGATCTCTGTCAGCTCCCACAAGTAACTAGACTACAGGTCATGTCCCACCATTTCCCAGCCATCTAAAAAGTTTTAATTTGTTTATAGAGACAGGGTGTTGCTGATGTTTCCAGGCTGCTATGCTGTCTCAAACCCCTGTCTCCAATGATCCTAACTGCCACCAGCCCCCAAATCAGTGACCAGGTCTTTGTTAGAAAATGAAGCCCACACCCAGCCTGCCTCTCTATATTATTTCACTTTTCAAGGTGGTATATACCACAGATAGGCCTACTTTTTTTTTCCTATCTAAGAATTGTCTCTAAAAATTTCCTCTAAATTACACACTTTCCTATTTACACTCTTGATATTCTTTTTTTTTTTTTGGGCAGAAGTTTATCGTTTCAACCCCGAGCTAGAGTCGAGTGCCATGGCGTGCAGCCCTAGCTCACCAGCAACCTCAAACTCCTGGCTCAAGCAATCATCCTGCCTCCAGCCTCGAGTAGCTGGACTACAGGCATGGCCATCTGCTAATGTTTTTTTATGCTTTTTTGCCAATATTTCTGTTCTATTTAAGTAGAGACGGGTCTCCGCTCCAGGCTGGTTCAAAACCTCCTGATACGTCACGCCTCAGCCGCCAGAGTGCTAGGATTACGGCGTGAGTCACCCCAGAGTGCTAGGATTACAGGCGTGAGTCACCACGCCCGGCCCTTGATTACTCACTCTTATTCCATCTATAGTGATATGAAATCCTAATTGGTCTGTTTTCTCCATTACAATGTAAGCTCTGTGAAGCCAGGGATCATTTTGTTTATCATTTTTTCTACAGGGCCCAACATAAGTTGCTTTGCACAGAATTGGCACCAAAATAAGTTTATTAAGTGATTTGTTAAACGATTTTTTGTGTGTCTTTTTCCAAGTTGATGCTTTTACCTATTATACAGTTCGTAGCAACCTTAATGACCAAGAAATCTCACTTACATGTCCACATGCTCGACAATGATGCCTCCTCCGTGTCAGTGCATTGAAAGATTCTTTGCATTTCATACACATTGTCACTTCGTTATCTCGGATCCATCTTGGGGCTCTTTTCCCTAGCTCAGCAGTCTAAAAAGGAAAGATTGATTCATTTTAATAGAAAAAAAAATTTCTTCTCTTTTATTGTTATTTTTTTAAAAGCACTTTAGCAACTTTGTTCAAGCCACATTTTGAAACTCAAGGACAAGAACTAAAAGGTTCATAGAAGTTTAAGCAGTATGAAAAGGCACTCACTATTGTAGTCATTTAAGGAGGAATGAGATTCTGGCTAAACAGCCAGTTCTGACATTGTAAAGGAAAAAGGCTGGATAACAAAATGATTAGACAGATATTCTGCAACTGCAAAGAGATAAAACGGCTTAAAGTTAAGAACTTAATTCAACTTACAGAAACCTCTGAGTGAATGTCATTATCTTTTGCAATTGCATTTCTGAAGGTTTCATGCCTTTGATGAAAAGCATCAATGGTCTCTTGAAGGGCCTAAAAGTTAAATTCAAAGTACATATTAACATTTCACCTGCAAATTAATGAATATACTTTACTAAATATCTATGATAGGAAATCACCTTAAAAAATAAATGAACTTGTTCTAATGACTGTATATTAAACACACCAATATGTACACATTTGTGTACACACAGAAATATTATCAAAAGAATTAAAATAGAAATCAGGCTTACCTTGATCCATTCTTCTTTGTCTTGCTCAGAACTAAAACAAAAAAAATTAAAGTGAATACAGAGAACATTAATGAATTACACCTGGTGAGTAAAACTATGCTTTATAGTTGTTCCAACTTTTTGGAAAATTCAGGAATGTCCTGGAAGAAATTACAATCAAAATTAAATAGAATTTCTGGCAAATGAACAAATAAATTTTTAAACAGAGGTTCAAACTATCCACTGACTCTGGTACACATAAATTCTAATGGGGAGAGTCAAGTTTAGCTTATATTAATATAATGCCCTGAAATAAGTTTAATAACCACCATCTGGTTCTATATTAGGAGATTCTGTATATGTAGCATTATACTAGATATATAACAGCTAATCTTCCAATTTTCTAAAACACATGAAGGCTATTAAAAGCAACTAGTTACAGCTCATCTTAGAAAAGATTATAATTATCCTTGAGAATCTAAAATATCTCTGTAAAGCCTTAGGGAGCTATTTAACATTTCCTTTGATAAACAATTTTATTTTCCTATTCCTAGGAGGCCTCAAGTAATACCATACCTAACCTATTATAGATAAAGCAAAGCATATAAAAATTTTAAATGCTGCATGAAGGGGGTTCCACAGACTAATGGACCCAAGTGGTTAGGAAATCTCCTTACAGAAAAAATTTCCTTGACCGTAATCAAGTTCTTTTTCTGTTAAAGCAAATTTTATTTCCTTATGTAGCCAGCTTCTGTCATATATACCATATTTGAAAAATCCCTGTTAGTAGACTATGCACTGGGTAAGATCTCCAAATTGAAGGATTTTGACAAGTATCAAGGAGTGGGCTCTGTTTGTTTGCATGTGTTTGGTAGGCTGGGGCTAAGTTTGAGTTCCAGCCTGAATGTCACCTGCCTCATTCCCACAGGTCTGAAATATGCATGAGACTGGTCAGAGGTTTGTTCCTGTGACAAAACACACCTTTCCAACAGATTGATTCCTGTGCACCACTGTGTGCCAGGCAAGCCATTGGAATCTGTGTCAAGTGGAAGCTTCTACTTATTGTCCACCTGGGGCTTCAATCTTGCACTTCAAAAAAAAAAAACTTCTCTATACTTCTTTGCAGTGCCTTGTCCTCCTGGCTCTGTTGCCCTGGGAGCATAGTTATTTGCTAGCTGTTTTTACCCTTTCAGATGCAAAGAAACCTGACAAGTCTTTAATGCTTTTGTTTTACTTTTTTAGTTATGGCAGGTGTTTTTTTTTTTTTACTCTTTTTAATATACTTATTACTAGATTTTAATTTCCACTTAGAAATAGAAAACCATTATAGTATTCTGCATATAAGACAGAATACTTTTTATCCTTTTCAGTGTGGAAGAAGCAGCACAAATGTTAAGAAGTCAGTCTTGAGGCTGACACATACCTTAGCAAGAAAAATGGAATCCTTTTTTCCTAGTTGGCTTCAGAAACAAACACTCTTTAATCATCTCCAAATACACACCCAATTTTTGGTTCCACATAATCCCTCTGACACTGACTTTCTTGGAACTCCAATGTTTTGTCTCCATTCTTGAGAGAACCATTATAGACCAGATGGAAAATAATCACTTAATTCAGATCTTTAATATCACCATATACTCATAAATGCAACTAGAGCAATGAGATTAGGGGAGTAAGAAGTTTAAGGAAGAATGCCATGTTTCCAACACTAATTGGAATGCATCCTGATATTGTGTATTAGAATGTATGAAGTGATGACTGCCTGTACGTAAGAAAATTCCTCGCTAGTCAGCCCCATCCTAAAGAGATAGCCTAACCCACTAATGGAGGACTTAAGTCTCTGTTTAAGCAAACCAAGAAACCTTAGAAATATCTCCCCTGCTGTTGCACACATCTCTTGAGCTTGCAGATTTGGAAATATGCTGAAATTTCAGCAGCACTACATTCCTGCAATGAAGACTCCTAAGATGATCAAAACTATTGATGAGTGTTCCCTGTTGCCAGGGTCAATAACTTAGTGAATCAACCACGCAGTGAAGACTCATGCCAGGAGCCTACAGCACAAAATCATACATTCTTCCCTTGGGTTTGAGGGGCTGGGGCCCAATGCCCACCATGATAAGGTAGGAAAACCATTACATTCAAAGCCAAGTCTATTGCCTTTTTAACTCAAGCTTGAAATGCTAATCTGCTAATCTTCAAAGCAGTCCCCTAGCTGTACCCTAAGTTATGGGAGGTTCAGTATATGGGAGTTTCTCTGTAGGAAACCAAAGAACTGGCTGTTTCTTTAAATTTTCCCAGCCTGCCATAGCTTCCTGTAAATGTAAACTTAACAGTTTCTGAACTCCCTGGGCACAGATTCCTGGTAAAATGTTTTATTCTCCTTTGAAAGTCTGAAGTTGAAGCTCTTGGACATTTAGTAAGTACAAATGTCCAGGATGAATTCACCTGAGTAGCGAGAACCACATGCTATTGGAACAAAGGAAAGGAAGGACACTCTACCTCTCCATGGATTCTGGGATAGCAACAATGATTAGAGCTGAAATTGGTACTTAACTCTCTAGTTTGTGACCTGCTGGAGTATGTAAATTTTCACCATGGTAGGCCTTTGCAATACAGGCCTCATGCAAGATGCACAACTGTCTTCTAAAGCAGGTATTTCAAAACCTGACAGCATCCTGTCTTCCAGAGGTTCACGCATGAGGAAGCTGTGATCTACTGCAGTGGTTCTAATGTCTCTCCTGCCCCGCCCCAAACATGGTTATGGTTAAGGAAGTGTTGTTAGCCTCCCCTCTCTCCCACTCGGTAGAAACATGTGACAAGAGCCATACTTTCCAGAAGTCCTGGTTGCCCGAGGCCACCTGAACCCCAAATGGCTCCCTTCACGTATCCTCCACCTGTGGCCAGAGAAGCATTTCCTTTTCCACCCTGCCTCCTATGAAGACTTCTCTCAAAGTGCCCATTAGGCCCAAGAATGCAGAGCCTCTGAAGGACTCATAGTTTAACATGGAAGAATAAGCATGGATAAACATTTGTGCACCAAAAGGAGAGATGGAAGAAAGAAGGATTAGGAGAGAACTTTTTCCTGCAAGTCTCAAGATTCTGGCTTGACTGCAACAACTTCATCCTCTAAGGACCCTGTATTTCTGAAGAGTCAATCAACTTACTGAATGCTTATTGTCCACAAGCTATTGTCTCAGGCACTGTGGAAAAATCAAGAGAGAGAGAGAGACATGATTTCTGCCTTGCAAGAGCTCACAGTTCTCCATTTATATCCAACCAGATTCCCAGAGATCTGTAGCATTCATTTGGGAAAAACTCTCAGAACCATTCTTGTCCTATGATTCACTCTGATGTTTTTGGAAAGCGGTGTGATAGGAACGGCTCTCTTACCTGGCCTGGAGTTCCAATGTTCTCTCCTTCCCAGATACCTGGAAAGTATGTGGATATTCTTCATTGTGAGTCTCCACAATTTTCATCCCATCGATGCCAACCCTGGTTCGAACTGTATATTTATAGCCCACCAAGCTGAATCTGGGCACACAGTACAGCAACATGTTGTTGAACTGCAAGGAGACAGAACACATATCAACAAACAGGAAAATGATGAAAAGTGATCAATTTTAAAAGTATTCCTGGAAAGAAATCCTAAGAAACTTCTAGGGAATATGGTACTTCCTGCATGAATAAAACTATTTACTACTATATTGATATTTTATGCTTATATCAAAAATCATATTCTTAAATATTTAAAAATGTATTTCCCTTTCATGGCTCATAAATCATTTATTGACACTTATATCATCATTTTGTATTATTGCTTTAAGTACATTAGTTCAATAAATTCAGTAATAATTAATGATCTTCTATAAGGCACTTCAGTTCTTAACTTTGTAAGTTAAAGTCCTCATGTACCAGAATTTCTAATTGTTATGTCTTAGAGGGCAAGTCTCAATTAGTTGTTAAAAGAAAACATTAATATTTAGCTGTCATTTTTTTCCCGGGTTTTTTATTTTTAATTTTTTTAAATTGGCCATTTTTTGGTTTCATTTTTTTTGGACATGTGGGGTTTGGACACTAAACCCCATGTAAAAAGTAAGTCACATGGCCAAGAACCCTATTTTATATTCCATCACGCAATGCTCTACAACTGTATTATGAATCCTTGAATCTTGCTTAAGAATTTATCACATGTTTTATCAAGGTCTTTATAGACAGAGCCTTATTCTTTATGAGATCTACTTTAAAAATGAATAACATTATTTTGAAACTGAATCAAATTATGCACAGTGCCTCATTTCTAGTCAGTAATAGCCCTTGCTAAACAGGACCATGAAAAATGTTAGACTGCTGACATGATACAATCTCACTTTCAATGACTTTGTGAAAGCATTTCATTCACTTTTGAATATATTATAACATGAAAAAAAATGAAACTCTATATATTTGGGTTAATTTGTGGGCAGCTTCCATAGAGAAGGCCCATTCTTATCTTCCTACTCCATATTTATTTGTTTCTTAGGTTGTTTCTAGTGTGACATATATTTTTCTAAGACAAGAGCAATTAAGGAATAAGAAAAAAAATTATCTTTTGAAATGTACTATCATAACAGCACGTGTTCTAAATTCAATATAATTTTTATTGTGCTCGCTTCAGCAAGGTTTCTCAATTTGTTAATTTTTCAAATTTTCTCTAAGGTTTTACTTCAGGTGGGATATCAGCTGAGTACTATATGGTAGTGTAGACTCTGGGGCCAGACTGAGCATTCAGGCCTCCACTCTACTGCTTATGAACTGCGTAAATACTCATGCTTTGGGGTCATTACCTGTAAAAGTCACGAGTTGCTGAGAACAAATGAGGAAGCAAGTGTGAAGTGTTTAGCATGGTGCTTTGCATGTACTCAGTGCTCAAATTCAACACGTCTTCTCATTTTATTCTCTTTTGGGATATAAGTCTAGACTCTTCCTGCTAGGCCCTCTGTTTGGCTTCACAGTGCCATGACGACAAGAAATATCGACGGGTGCATAAAACATTCCAACATGTTTATGGGACACAGCCTGTTGCATTCATTCTGAAAGTAAATACCTCACCAGTTGTTTCTCGTATTATTATTTTGTAACTTCCTGTAACCAGTGTCATACGTTTCAGTTCCACACTAGAGAATGTAGAAATAAAAGCCTGTGTACATTTTAGATACATCCAGTACCACAGTTTGCATTTACATTTCTATTAATAGAAAAGGACCTATGCCTTTATCGTTAACCGTCCATCGTCTTTAAGTGTGGCAGGCACAGCCTCATTGTAGCACACAGATTCTAGAGATTTGGAAAAACTCTGGAAGCTTCTCATCACCATCGATATCATAGTTTGATTAAGGCACTAGCTTGCTTGCTAACTCTTCTTGTTAACATTTCTTTCTCTCTTCTGTCAAGGCCTTCTCCGGAGGAGATTCGGTCAAGGCTGTGCATGCTACAGGAGCTGCAAAGCTACCTCCACAAGGATAGAGCTCATCCTTTCAAGCCATCAGCAATAACCAAGTTATTTCTGCACACTGAGTGACAAATGTACTGTTATGGCATTACATTTCTGAGTTAGCTGATACTTGTGCTCCAGTGGGTTTTATAAAGTTCAGCAAAGTCATGTTATTTTATAGAAACACAAGTCTGTGAATATGAAGGTTCTTAGGCATTTGCTTTTGGTAGTAATGCTCATATAAAACGACAGATTATCTTATAAATATGTATGTTTCTCTTTCCCTTTCCTGCTTTCAGGACTATATTCTCTGTATTATATTCTAAGTGGAACTTCATGTTCTAAATTGTCAATAACACACACACACTCTCTCTCTCTATATATATATATATTTTTTTTTTTTTGGAGACAGAGTCTCGCCTTGTTGCCCAGGCTAGAGGGAGTGCCATGGCGTCAGCCTAGCTCACAGCAACCTCAAACTCCTCGGCTCAAGCGATCCTACTGCCTCAGCCTCCCAAGTAGCTGAGACTACAGGCATGCGCCACCATGCCCAGCTATTTTTTTCTATATATATTAGTTGGCCAATTAATTTCTATCTATTTATAGTAGAGGTGGGGGTCTCACTCTTGCTCAGGCTGGTTTCGAACTCCTGACCTCGAGCAATCCGCCCGCCTCGGCCTCCCAGAGTGCTAGGATTACAGGCGTGAGCCACTGCGCCTGGCCAATAACTATATATTAATCTTACACAATTCTGATCACAATCTAATGCTAGTCAACAAATATCCTTTTCTTCTTTGTACAGGTGAAAGTGAGAACTTTTGCAGGATTTAAAACATTGCTTACAAAGGAGACACCATATATGTGAAGAAATCAGGTAGTTCGTCTTGTTCCCTCTGTGAGCCTTGGTCCTATAGCAAAAGCTACCATCACCTTTCACAAAGAGAATTATTTCTCTCTGGGTTTCCCCTAGTACTGAAAGAAGTTATAGCAACTACAGTATGAAGTACATCAACTTTCCCTCTTAGTGCAGAAAATTCTCTTTTCTTCCAAACCCACAGCTCAGAAGTATTGATCAGTAATCTCAGACTGGCGAGGCAATTTGTAAAAGTCCTTGATTGTGACAAAACCTACCGTGTTTCCCCCAAAATAAGACCTACCCATAAAATAAGCCTTAGCAGGATTCTAAGCACTTGCACAATATAAGCTCTACCCTGCAAATAAGACCTAGTGATGGATGTGGCTACGCAGCACATCTACACAACCCATGCATTTTTGTCATGGAGCGGTAAAGAAGACGAGCAGCCCCTCTCATCTGCCCCATGAGAGCTCTATTGCTTGACATGAGAGACTGGGGCCAATGGTTCTAAAGGGAATAGAGTCGCGAGAAATTCAGGCTGGAATTCGGGGTTTGGAGAGTTATGATGATGTTCCAGAAGACGAGGACAACTTAACTATATTTGAATCAGTGTAGATTGTTGTACCGTACTTAAAAAAAGTAACACATCCCCTCAAAATAAGCTCTAGGGTGTCTTCTTGAGGAAAAATAAATATAAGACCCTGTCTTATTTTCGGGGAAACACAGTAGAAGCAAGTCTCAACATTATTGAAAATGTAGGGAGAGTCCCTTTTCTTGATTGCCAGTGTTCTTAAGTATATTTTAAGAGACTTGAAATAAATAATTTGCCTGAAATAATTCAATTTCATGTTCTTAGCAGTGAAAACTTCTTAAAATTTATTTTAGAAGGTAATAATATATTGTTGGAGAAAATTTCCAGTGCCTGGTCTATGTTCAAAGATTAAATAAGGAAAAAAAAATGTGAATCTACCAAGCTACAAGTAAATAAAGAAATGAACTCCAACAGGCTGCGAATAAAAACACCAGTCATTCTATGAGATAAGTTGGTAATTAAATAACCACATCTGACATCTGAACTATTTTTTAGTTAACAGAATACCGTAGTAAACAGAGTACGGTTTGAATGTGTCCCAGAAAAAGCATGTGTTGGAAACTAATCCTTAATGCAAGTGTTGGGAGGCACAGCCTAATGGGAGGTATTTAGGTAGGAGGCTCGACTAATCCATGAATGGATTAATGCCTACTATAAAAGTGCTTCAGGCTGTGAATTCAATTTCTTGTTCTCTTGCCAAGTGATGCCTTCTGCCCTGGTCTGATACAGTAAGAAGACCCTCACCAGATTCCAGCCCCTCAATCTTGGACTTCCCAGCATCCAGAACCGTAAGAAATAAATCCCTGTTCTTATAAATTACTCAGTTTCAGGTATTCTATTATAGCAGCACAAAACACACTAAGACAGTACCCCATATTCATTTAAAAAAAGGGAAAAAGTGCAGTGTGGAGGCAAGCAAATACACAAACACATGAAGATCACTGGAAAGTGGAAGCCAGATTCTAAATGTAACTTGCCTTTTCACACAAATGTACCATCCCAAGAGTAGGAAATAGAAAGGTAGCCCTCCGTTTCTTTCTAGAGAGAAAAGAAAAAAATGGTACTTCTGAAGTTTCTACATGTAAAAGAACAAGATGCTCCATGGGAATTAAAGTGTGCTGGCAGGAGAAGAGATTCTGTGACAGGTACAGTACTAGAGAGGGCGGATTAAAAGAAGGAACGCTACACTGGAAATGTTTCTAAGATGGGTCTTCAAGAGATGAATGTGACTTTCCTAAAATGCTGGCCGCGTGACCCCATTCTCCTGGCAGGCAATGGCTCGATGTCTTTGATACTTAAAGTAACTGGAACAAGATGGGTCTTTTCTTCAGAGTCACCAGCTGTCATGTTCCCCCCCTAAGGGCTCTTCACCATCTGCCCTCCCAAGAGCTGCTAAATTTGGCTCGCATCAAGATATAAAATTATTTCCAAAATAATTCCCAAATGTGAAAATTAAACCAAGGCAAGTGGTTAGACACAGAGCTAAAAGTTTAGAGACTGTAATGCTAATGAGGAACAGAGCAAAGGAGAATCACTCTGTCTGCACCTAAAAGGTAAAGACAGAGGGAAGACGCTGACTCCCGGGGATTTTGCCCAGAATAGTGTATGAAGCACATTTTTTTATTCTGTATTTTTGATGCTTTGACATCTTAAGGCCTTGCTGACACTGCCCCTCCCAGGGGTACCTATTTCTTAGGGATAGTAAACGACCCACTTTTCATGTGGAAACAAACCAATCCAAGGCACACAACCCCAACAACCTCCTTTATCCAGCTCTTAGTCTCTGGGACCACTATTTCCCTGCCCTAATGACCCCAGGGCCAGGACAACAACCCCTGAGCCCAGAGAAATACTCAAATAGCCAGTCCTTAGCCTGCTCCTCTGTCTGTCCCATTCCTTCCTGTGGAAACCATGATGAAGGCTCCTGCCCAAATCTTCTGCATGTTCCCCTGCTGCCCTCCCCCTCCCTGGCATGGCATGGCATGCCCGCCTCTTGGGATCTGTCTTTTCAATGGCAATTGTCTCCCAATCTGTTGGCCCTGCCATACCTGAGCAATAAAACCTGTATTTTACAATAGATCTCTAGAAAGAACTCAGAACCCTGACACCTTTGTTTTCTATTTGGCTCACTGTACAAGCTGTGAATGATAAAATATTTGTTTAGCTCAAATGATTCCAAAACATATTATGACATACTAAGAAACTCTGTACCCATTTCCTCCTCCCCAACAGCCCTAGGCAGCCACTAATTACATCTTATCTCCATGCATTTACCTATTCTAGATATTTCACATATATGGAATCATATAGTATGTGTGTGGCCTTTTGTGACTGGCTTCGTTTACGTGACACAATGTTTTTAAGCTTCACCCATGTACATGTATCAGTATTTTATTTCTTTTTATTGACACATAATATTCCATTGTATGGATATACCACATCTTGTTTACCTATTCACCAGCTGATGGATATTTAGGTGGTTTCTACTTTTTGGGCCATTACAAATAATGCTGCTATGGACAACAATGTCCAAGTTTTTGTGTGGACATGTTTTCAATTTTCCTGAGTTATACAAACTTGGAGTAGAACTGCTGGGTCATATGGTAATCAAATGTTCTTTTAAAAAACGATTGACAGATATTGAATACCCCCCTCTGCATGACAATTAGTTTCTATAAATTTTCCTTTCAGGGGAGGCTGGAAATAGACAACAAAAACCTAAGCTCCGAATGACAACTCCTGCAATGGCCGGCAAGATGACTGCCTTGTGGCAGAAAAAAAATGTGAGTTAACATTCTGAGCCAGTCGCTAGGCAGCCTCTTTACTGATGTGTCTCTGTTTCCTTGCCTTTAGTAAGAATCATAACAACAGCTAACATTTATCGAACTATCAGTCAATGTTAGCTTGCTCTTTGTCAACGCTAGCTATTATTATGAATCTAATCTTATTATAGAAAGGAACTGAAACTCATTAGGTAACAAAGAATAAAGCTCATGTGGACAGATACTAGAAAAAAAATAATGGCCTGGATGTTCCAGGGAGAGCTCTTACATTTGAGATAAATCCCAGACTAATCGTCATTTCCAGGAAGTGAAGGAAGGGACCAAGGACTGACTGCAGTGAAAAAGAACTATGTAGCTAACTCATATACTCTTCCCATAGATATTTTAGACACAGGTCTCACAACCTTGTCTATGTATTTTTTTTTTTAACCTAGAAAGATAAAATATAGTGACTTAAAGAGGATTAAGAGGAGAATTGTCAGGAAATGTTAATAGTATGCCAGCGAAATATCCAGGGAATGGCAAGAATGAAAGGAAAATTTGAAACAAGCAAATAGAGGATTTTAAAAGTACATCATATCCCAAACATGTCAAGTCAAATTGTCTTCACTGTGTGTTCCTGAAGTAAATCACACCCATTAAGCATACAGAAAAATTACAGAAAAATATTATTTCAGTTACTTAGAACATTCCCGTATACAGAATCCTGGCAGTGTTGACTAAACCAAGTTAGATTTCATTGCTTTGGTAAGTAAGTACCATACCTTTCCAATATGTGTGCAATAATTTTTATGAATTATTCTCCTATTACTTGCTGACACTATACTACTTACTAAGAAAAGGTAGCGTTCTTGTGCTGATGTGTTCCGAGCAGCTAGTTTGAGGATCTGTCCTTCTTTTATTAGTTCATTTGAAGGGTTTACAATGTCTTCTTCTTCTCCCAACATTTCATAAATCTCTAAGAGTTTCTTTAGGTTCTCCTATAGGAAATTAAAACAAAACACAGCAAGATCAAATATAAGAAAGGTTTCAACTTAGTGCCTTTAATAATACTATGACCTTAACTAAAAATCTATAAAGAGTAAGCATACATTTTGGTATAAAATGTATCACTTATCAGCAAGTTGAAACCTCTCAGAGAAGAGGGGAGAGGATTATTCTAGATAACACTAAACGTTTTGTGAACATTCTTTTTTGTTTACCTATTTCAATTTACTTTGGTCCAAACCTACAGATAGTATTGGGCTGTATTATTGACAGCTGTCTAACCAGAAGGTTCCTGTCTCCTCTGAAAACCACTTACCATTTTTCTTATTGCACTATTAGAATGGCTTGCTGCTGTAGATATAATTTCAAGTGATTCTAAATGGGAAAAAAAAGAAAAGTAAATAAATATACCTTGTCCTTCCTGTGCTACCATATAGCTCAATAACACACTAAAAACACTTGAAACCAAAGACACTACACAAGAGTAGCCGCAATGAGCATCACAAACCTGATACTTTCAAAAGTTCATTTGTAAGCAGATTACTTAGAACTTAAAGGGTATTTCCTTATATAAAAAGTCATACACGGCCGGGCTCGGTAGCTCACGCCTGTAATCCTAGCACTGTGGGAGGCCGAGGTGGGTGGATCGCTCAAGGTCAGGAGTTTGAAACCAGCCCGAGCAAGAGTGAGACCCCATATCTACTATAAATAGAAATAATTTCATTGGCTAACTAAAAACATATAAAAAATTAGTGGGGCGTGGTGGCGCATGCCTGTAGTCCCGGCTACTTGGGAGGCTGAGGCAGGAGGATCGCTTGAGCCCAGGAGTCTGAGGTTGCTATGAGCTAGGCTGATGCCATGGCACTCAAGCCCAGGCAACAAAGTGAGACTCTGTCTCAAAAGAAAAAAAAAGTCATATACGATGATTTAGGCTTACAGACCTTATCTAATTCCTAATGTACCTTCAAAATTAACAAGCATTTACAGTGTACACTACTCAATCTAAGGTTCTTTGCCAGACACTTTGATTAAAAATATCAATTCTTACACATCCCTAAATGGTACATATATCAGCTGCATTTGGCAGATGAAAGAAACAGAGAAGTGACGGGATTTGGCTCGAGTCACACAGCTACGGTACTGTGGGGCCAGACTTAAACCCAGGTCTTCTGACTCAAAGGTCTAAAACAAGTTAGCAGTAGTTAAGTATTTTACTAGTCTTATAAGCAAATTAACCACTCAACCAACTTTCTTTAGGAAAATGCACTCAGTCCTAGCCTGGGTCAAGGAATCTCCCGAAACCAGCATTGGGGTTTTTGTTGCTGGGGCAGGTGCAGTGAGACATGGGAACGGGAACCTTTTGCTACAGACATCACAGGACGGCCAGGAGCTGCTGGGGAAGAGCTGTGGGAGCCGAGGTCTTCTGCTGGACAGACCCCAGGGAGTACCTCTCAGTCCCAAACAGGTCTTGTTTTCTTCCTTTCCTTTTTGTTGTGTGCATACTGGCCTGCTTAATTCTGTTACCACAACAACCTCATCACTTCCGGACTACACTTTCTGTCATCTTTGCACTGCTGAACAGAATGCACTTTTTTGTTGCTTTCCCCTCTACTTTTAGGGCATCAAGAGCCCTTCTGTGATGCCCTTAGAATTTTAGTGTAAGTAGCAATGGGAAATCAGAGAGAGAAACAAAATGCCCTACTATGTCACCAACTTTCTCATTTTCGACATAGGCATCTTGGGGGAAGACAAAGTCTTTGGGTATAGAAAACACTGAATTTTAATTTACACTTTAGAGAAGTATTCTGATTTGAACAATTCTGTGCACTTGATACAGGATCGTATACAGGATATACGGAGACAAAGTAAGATGGGCTGGGGCCATGCTCAAGGGATGAGCCGGAGGAAGAGCAGGGGTATTTCCCACCTCCACACCCACCAGCACTCAGGCCAGCTGGGTGAAAAAGTGGGTCGAGGCAGAGTTCCTAGGTAGTGGTAGGCTAGGGGAAGATGGCAAGTCAGGTTCATTCTCAGCTGTAGAAGGAGAAAGGGAAGAAGAGAAATTTCTGTGGTCACCAAGTCACTGCATGGTGGAAAAAACATATCAGACAGCTTGTGTTCAAGAAAAGACTTAGGTTGGGTGGAGTGGCTCATGCCTGTAATCCTAGGACTCTGGGAGGCTGAGGCGGGTGGATTGCTTGAGGTCAAGAGTTTGAAACCAGCCTGAGCAAGAGCAAGACCCCGTCTCTACTATAAATAGAAAGAAATTTAAAAAAATTAGCTGGACATGGTGGTGCATGCCTGTAGTCCCAGCTACTCGGGAGGCTGAGGCAGCAGGATTGCTTGAGCCCAGGAGTTTGAGGTTGCTGTGAGCTAGGCTGATGCCACGGCACTCATTCTAGCCTGGGCAACAAAGCAAGACTCTGTCTCAAAAAAAAAAAAAAAAAAAAAAAAAAAAAAAAAAAGAAAAGACTTAGGTTCCAAGACCAAAGATAAAGTTTAGGTGTTTCTCAACTCTGACCAAGATTCACTTATAACATTAGGCAAGAAATCACAAGGGAAAGTAGCAATGTTTTAAGATTATATTGTTACTACTTGTTGAATATCGAGCCATTTCTTTTTTAAAAAATTTGTAGAAATGGGGGGTCTCACTGTGTTACCAGGCTGTTTTCAAAGTTCTGGGCTCAAGCAATCCTCCTATATTGGTCTCTCACAGTGCTGGGAGTATAGGCGTGAGCCACCGTGCCCAGCCACAAGCCATTTCTATTTATTAAATTTTCATTCCTTGCTTTACATTACAGTCAATGGATTTTTAAAAGTGCATGAGAAAGCTAAAATATTGACACTCATAAACACTGAGAAGAAAAAAAAAACCCTTTTCATTTAATATAATGAGAAAATAAAAGATATCTAACAGGATTGTAATGAAGTTTTCTTGGAGAAAATGGTATCAAACAGTAAAAAGCACCTATGTCTTAGGGTAGGTGGAGCCACCTTTATTTAGGTTATTTATACACAGTAAATGTCACCTTCAGTTTCTTGGTATGCATCAACTATCTAATTAAACGGCAGCACTTGTAATTCTGAATGGCTGTATTCTTCCTGTGAGAAGGTAATTCTGTTTTGCGATTCCAGATGTCTCTAAGACTATAGTTTTCTATTTTAGAGCTAGTGATTAAAGTGAAACCAACATGAGAAATGTGATTTGCATTGCTCTAAACTTGCGATTTTGGTTCAAAAGTGACTTGCCTAACCAAGGTGCTGATAACAATTTCCAATGAGATTATTTTCCGACAGCGATATTTGACTAAAGTAGCTGTCTGACATATCTCGCTTTGGAATCACAAGGCTGCTTGCCAACTGATCATCCAATAATGGTGGGGCGGGGGGCACACGGGGAGGAAGCATTTACTTTTAGCATCATTCCAGTCTGGGGAGTCGGACGGCAATTTCCTTAGGTAGTCCTTCAGGAGCATCTCATACCGGGGAATCCGCTGGACAGGCTCTAGCATGTGATGCTGCAAAGTTAAGCTCCCACAGATTTTCTGTTTCTGTAATGAGAAAGGTTTTTAAAGAAACATTTAAAAATAGGTCAGTCTAAAAACTCACTCTAATACAGAACTTTCATTAAGGGCAATATTTTCCACAAAATATAGTTAAGCATCACCTACATTACATATATCTGGTATTTTTTTTTTTAAATGCAGATTTCTGAACCCCACCCCAACCTATGTAATCACAATCTTTGGGGAAAGGGCCTGAGAATATGCATTTAAAAAGATCCCATATTCTTATAATATTAAAGAAAATTCCTGATTGCTGGCAATCATTTCCATTAGTCACCATAAGAGTTTGTGAAGTCGCATTATTAAATCACTCTACAGAGATTTTCAAAAGATGTGCCTGTTTAATGAGGTTCACTAAGCACAACTGTATTAAATGACTTTGGGTTCAGCAGAAAGCATTTCATAATAAGGCTGTCATGAATGTAGAATAATGACAAGATCTGGGCATCTTGTTATGTGTCAGGAAATTTTCATTTTTTATTATGAGGTCAAGGCATTCTTCTTCATTAGACACCAAACTCTGTAAACAGAACTCCATTTCTTAGGGTAATATTAAGTCTGTATCACTTGCTTTCAATAAGCTGTTAACATATGAGAAGGAAAAATAAGATATGTTCTTGTTCATATTAAACAAAGCAGAAATCCCATTAAAATATTTACTGAACTCATACCACGATCAAGGCACTGCAGAGTATAAAACTTATATTAAGACACGGTGTTTGCGTTTAAAGCAAACAAGCAATTAAAGGCTTCGCAGAGAAAGGAACATTTAATACAACATCTGATGAGTGCGGGCTTTGGTGGGGAGGGAAGTGAGAATGACAAGGAAGCAAGTCTAGGAAGACAAACCTGAGACAACAGGCCCATGGCAATGGAGCATGAAACACGTTCAATAAAAAGGGGCGGTTGGGTGTTCCTGGCAAATAGGGTAAGTGTAGGAAAGTAGGGGATGAGGAAAAAAAGGTAATACAAAAGTAATAATGTCAAGAATCTTTAGAGCCTGAGTTTAGATTTGCTTCGTCTAATAATGCAGGTTTTTGTGCAAGGAGTGACATCATTAGATCTGAAGCTCTATTAGATTAACCTACTGCTTTGTGACATTAGGGGGATTTGGGAAAAATAGTTTGGAAGTTATTATTAGTGTAGACTTGTATTAAGAAGGTAATAAGTGCCTGAAACTGGCATGAACACTGAGGGAATAATAGCTTTCCTTAATAAAGTGTAAGATAAAGAATTTTACAAGTTTAATTATCTCACTTTATTTTCCCCAACAAACCTAATATATATCCAGGAAAATATTACTGATTCCAAAATTTCTACATGAAGAAACTGTGGCTCAGAGAAATTAGGAGCGTTTTCTAAGGTCAAGTGACTGTAAGTAGCAGATTAGAATTCTAACCTAGGTTAGCTGATTCCCAACTGACCACTCTTTTTACAGCCCATGTCATTTTCTTATAATATGGAGAAGACAGACATTGCAGAGACAGAATTTAGAGTTTCATAAAATAACAATAACTACCACCATCACCACCATGATTTAGTGAGCAGTTACTATGCAGCAAGCACTATGCTAAGCATCTTGAATACATTATCTCACAGGAAAATGAGTACATATAGAGAATGAAGAAAAGTAACAAATCAAGCTATGGTCAATGGGAGAATAATGGTGCCGTCTAATAAATCGCATATCAGAATTATTATGTACTCTGTGCAAGGCACAACAATTCACATGATAAATGCTTGGGAGGCTAAAGATAAGAATAAAACATGTTGATTCTGTTTTGACGACAAGATGTTCATACAGAATTGTATGAACAATTGTATGAATGCTAGTGTGTAACTAGCACTTGGCCAATTTTAACTGGGGTTTGGGGGTAGAGGACTAGAATAGAAACAATGACCCTAGAGGCATCTGTCTGGCATGACGGTTAAAGGTGTGGGGAAATAAGATATCACTGAGGGTATGAAGAGAAAGAAGACTATGGAAGACAAACCTTGTGTTCCCCCCGCATTTTAGTATTGGCAAAAAGGGCTAGTGAAAGGAGGAGCCAGTGTTCAGAAAGGTACTGGAGTGCTCAATCACGGTAGAAAAGAATGTTAACAAAGAGAGTGGGGGGGATGGGGCAGGACTTCAATGCCAAGTGAGGAACTGGCGACACACTCCCCCACCCCCGAAAAGTGACTATAAAGCTGGATAAAATTGACAAGACAACCATTTCAGCACTTTAGAAATTGATCAAAGGCATCGAGAATCTGAAATATGCTTAAACTTTAAAAACTGGTGAACTGTGGACAAGAACAGTGAGATTCTGTGGCATTCTAGCCGGGGGCTGCTCCCCTCCCTCCCCCAGCTCAGTCACTATGAAGGTTCCGCCAGGGGGGTGCAGGCTGTGAGGACTGGCAGCTTTCTCTGCTGAGGCTGACAAGGGCTCATTCGATTTGCAGTGCTGGGCAATGCGCACACCCAGCCTCGTCATCGTCATCGGTAGAAGTGAAGATCTCTGAGGTGGGTGAGTGGGGAAAGACAATGGCTCTACGAGCCCTGTGGTGGTGGAAGGGATCATCATATTATGGGCTAAAGCTGTGTGAATGATCGGCTGAGACCAGAGAGGACCCAAGCCAGCACGCTCTCCTGGGCTGCCCTGAGGCTGTGCACATGTGGATAGGAGATGTGAAAGGGCCCAGCGGACTTGAAAATGATCTGAACTTTAATTGTGCTCCCCACCTACCCATAGCCGGGTCCATCAGCAGAGGACAGAAGCTTACTGCCCTAGGTATATCAGCACCTCTGTCCAAAAACTAGTTGACCCTAAACCTACACAGACATATGGGCAATCCCTAGAAAGCCAGGTTCACAGATAAACACAAGAATATTAAAACAAAACAAAACAAAAACAATTAAGTGGCGACATCAGTGACTGTACACCAGAGGGGAGAGAGATTTTACAGACTTAGTCTAAGCAAGGAACTAAACAAACAAAGTAATCACAACCACTTTCACAGTGGTGGAAATCAGAATCCGGAGTTGCTATAATAGACCATCCAAAATGTAAAATATTCAGCAAAAAATTATAAAGCATTCAAAGACACAATAAGGTATGACCTATAATTAAGAAAAAAGGCAGTCAATAGAAATTGTCTCTGAGTGTCTTCAGATGCTGGATGATGTAGTGAAGACTTCAATGTAGCTATTATAAATACTCCCGAAGAAATGAAATAATGCTAGAAGGATTCAAGGAAAGTATGAATACAGTGAATGCACAATTGCAATTTTCAAGGGGGAGACAGACATAATAATAAAAGAACCGAACAGAAATTATGGGGCTAAAAAGTATAATAACTGAAACGAAAATTTCACTACAGGGGTTCAACAGCAGATCTGGGATGACAGAAGAATCAGGGAACTTAACAGAAACATTAATAGTAATTATACACTCTGAAGAACAGGAAGAAGAAAGATTGAACAAAAATGAACAGTCCCAGAAATCTGTGGGTAACATCAAGAATACCAACCAAATTCATATAATTGGAGTAAAAAAAAAAAAAGAATAGAAAGAAAAAAAAGACAAAATATTTGAATAGTGGCTTAACATTTCTCAAAGTGATAAAAAAAATCTGCAAATACAAGAAGCTCAACCAACCCTTAGTAGTATGATATTAATATAAATACAAAAAGTCCTTAACTAGATACATCACATTCATACAGTTGAAAGCCAAAAACAAAGAGAAAGTCTTAAATGCAGCAAGAGAACAATGACTCGTCATAGGCAGGGAGTACCAATACAATTAATGACTGACGTCTCATCTGAAACAATGGAGGAACAAAAAGCAGAAGAATGACATATTCACAGTGCTGAGGAAAGAAACTCATCAACCAGGAATTCTATATCCAGCAAAACTGTCATCAAAAGTGAAGAAAAAACAAGGGTATAGTTGCTAGCCAACATACTTTATAAGAAACAACTTTTATGCTGAAAGGAAATGCTAAATATATGGATTAATATAAAATATATTTATGGATACATTTTTCTCATATCCTCCCATAATTTTTTAAAAGACTTAAAATTATATAAAATAATATATATGAAACAATATATTGCTGGATTTAAAGCATATAAAAATGTAATATAAGGCCAGGCAGGTGGTTCAGGCCTGTAATCCTAGCACTCTGGGAGGCTGAGGTGGGAGGATTGCTCAAGGTCAGGAGTTCGAAACCAGCCTGAGCAAGAGCGAGACCTTGTCTCAACTAAAAATAAAAGAAATTAATTGGCCAACTAAAAATATACAGAAAAAATTAGCCGGGCATGGTGGCTCATGCCTATAGTCCCAGCTACTCGGGAGGCTGAGGCAGAAGGATTGCTTAAGGCCAGGAATTTGAGATTGCTATGAGCTAGGCTGATGCCACGGCACTCTAGCCCGGGCAACAGAGCTAGACTCTGTCTCAAAAAAAAAAAAAAAAAAAAAAAAAGGTAATATATAAGCAGGGGTCTCCAACTATGGTGAGTTGTATAATTATTTCATTATATATTATAATGAAATAATAATAGGAATAATGTGCACAATAATTGTAGTGTGCCACTTTCCCAGTCTGTGGAAAAATTGTCTTCCATGAAAATGGTCCCTGGTACCAAAAAGGTTGAGGACTGCTGATATACAGGACACTAATAGCACAGAGCATGGAGGAGGGAACAAAACTATATGAGAGCAAAGTGTCTATTTTATTAGAATTAAGGTTAGTATAATCTGAAGTACACTGTGATAAATTAAGATGAATATTGTAATCTTAAGAGCAGCCACTAGAAAAATAACTCAAAAAATAGTTTAAAAAGCAGAGGAATTAAAATAGTACAATAAAAATATTTATGTGACACAAAAGAAGGCAGTCAAGGAGCAACAGAATCCCTACTCCTGGAATCTTATGGGATCTAACATATTCCTTGTCAATATTTAAATTGCATGAAAGAATAAGATTAACAGTGACTAGAGAATCAAATGGAAATTACTACGGTATTATTAAAATGTGTTATCCAGCTTTGGTGAAACAGAAGAAAATCAGGATATAAAGTGACAAATAAAAACAATAGTTTCCAAAATCTCCGGGTTTACATCAATCAGTCTTTATATTCATTTATATTCCTTGTAACACTGCAACCCCTGAAAAAATGCAAGAGAAGGACACACCTGCGTGGAAACCCCCTTTGGAAATTTACGTAGACACTGATAAAAATTAACTTACAGCCTTGAACAAAATAGTCTGATTACCTGAATTTCTTCAACCACTGCTTTGAACTGCAGACTACGTTCTGTCATGTTTTTAACCAATTCCATTGCATTATCAAATCCCTTCACATATTCTCCATACATCTTAAGGAATGGTGCCAATTTCTGAAGGATGTCTCCAATTCTAGGAGTGGTTTCCCTATATTAAATATAGAAATAGGCCATTAAGATTATGTATAGAATGAGCAAATTAACAGGACTCCAGATGAAGCAGAATCACTTTCCACACACACCCTGTGCATCAGCAGACCCACCTTGCTGTAACACCGAAAGCACCTATTGAAAGGGGGTTTAGGAATAGCATAGCAAAAAAAGATGCTATGGAATTCTTGAAGGTCCAGATTACCCCGATATCTTGTCTTCGTAAGTCAAAAGACAGTTTGGAAAGTAGACATGAAATCTTTTTCATCGAAGCTGAAAATGTACAACTTCTATCAGTGGTCTTTAATGTAACAATTTAGCACAGATGTCTAGCTACAGCTGTTGTGTGGCATTTGTATTTCAATTTAGTAGAGGAAAAACACAGCATCTTGTATGACTGTCTTTTGGAACGTCATTTTGCCGTCTACTCCTCTTACCATTCTTGCATTCGTTTCTCCAGCTCTGGCAATAAGAATTTACTATGGAAGGCATTTATTGATGAAATATTTGAAAAGATTTTATTCACCATCTCTGCTGGAAATGAACCTCGGTTTGCTTCTTCCAATAGTTTACAATAAAATACCTGAATAAGAGAATAAAACAAACATTACCTCCAATTTACTGGTTAACCACCTACCACTGTGCTAGGCACACAGTGGGTTCTTAGTAACTGTTTGTTAAATAATTTGAAAAGTTCATGGTTCAAGAAATCAATTACTATTTGAAACGTAGGAGTGAGTATATGCTTTGATTTAGAAGAACCAAGAATAAAAATTAGGAAGCTTTGATTCTAACCTAGCACATATCTTACCTATGCCCCTAGCTGTAGGAATAATAATTAACCTTTTCTGTGCCAGAAAGGTTAATAGGATTTACCTTCCTATCCACAGAGTTAAGAGATGGGAAAATATATATACACAATAATTGTGGTATTTTTTTACTTTATGTTTTCAATGATATCTATGGCACTTATTCCATGTTGCCCTTTATTGTAGCTTGTTAACATAAATCTCATTTTTCCTCCTAAAATCATATGCTCTTTGGGAAGGGGGATATCATGATTTAGTTCCTACAACAAAACAGGTATTTAATACCTGGCCAGTGAATGAACAAAACAATACTTTAGTTATCAGATGTTTACTTGCTTTTAGGAAATAGTAATGCAAGATAATGTAAAACATTGATATGTGCAGGGAAAAAAAAAAACCTCTTCTGTACATAGTAACAGGTACCTTGAAGACAATAAAAAAAAAAAAAAAAACCAACTTGCAGTCTTAGCTATACTCCACTATGGCTACTATACCTCTTAATTGCCACTGTTAAGTGTAGGCAGAAGGAGGTCTGTTCCTTCATAATGTCCAGATGGTTGTTAATTTTCTAAATTCACCTCCATTGCATTTTCTTGGGAGGCAAAAAGAACACAAAATTATGTCCTTAGAGACTCCAACAGATAGGATACTATAGTAATTAAGACTCTAAAATTCGAAAGGGTCAGCAACAGGAGCTGACAAGTTATTTGGCTAACAAAAATGACACCTTGATAAAGCAGAAAAGACATATCTCCACTATGAGAATACCTAAAAGTCTGTAATTCCCATGAGAAAGAAAAGTTGTTTCAAAGTTGTAAACTTCACATGATTTTGATTTTGCCTTACACTGAAATTCCTTGAAAAATTAGTATTTGCCAACCATAAACTCATTATTTCAAAGAACACAATGCTTAAACTGGCTCCTCAGGGCTCACCCTAGCAGGGATGTCATTTGCTCTTGGAACCAGTGATAAGGAGGTGGCCCAGAACCTCCTGGTTCCATGAAATTCCAGTTTTCCAGCGGCAGAAGTGGGACAATTCTTACAATTAACACTCAAACATGGCAGCTTTCTCTTCTAACAAGGAGTCTGTATTAGCAGATAATCTACCAACTGTCCTGTTCTTTATTGCTGATACAGGATTTAAGATGCCCCAGTTTTCAAGTTATTCTTATGATGCTTTTTTAAACTTTCCAAATGTATATCTGAAATGATACTCAAGGCTCCACCACGATGAAGTACAAAATGTGATAAAGCAGACTTAACATATTCAACAAATACTGACTGGACAACTTTATGCTAGGCACTGTATTAAATAAATGTTTCATGCAAAGTTGAACAAGTGAACTCTCAAAATCCCTTCTGGCCCTATGACTACACCAGCTGAGATCACTCACGTGGTGCTGAACAGCAAGTGAGATGAACAGCATGTGAGCAATGCAAATACCAATATCTTGTCTAGATAAAAATGGTAACATGGCCCCAAGGATTACAATAAAAGGTCAAGAAGCACACTAGTATTTAAGGTTACAAGGCACAGATAAAGGTGTTTTGTGACTCATACAGAGAGAAACTTCTCTTTATGAATCACAAAAATGCTTATACTTAGTGAATTCACTGAGAAAGCTAAAAGTGCTAAGAGACTTCCTTGAACAAGTAACTTTCATTAGCTAGAAAACAGGTCCTTCTTGCAGTTTCAAAAACACTTTAATCACTAGGTTAAAATGATGCACACTGTCAAAACACAAAATAATTCTGAAGAAGAAAATATTACCTGATCTAAGAGGTCGAGTCGATTAACATAAGCTCTTTCTGTAAGCAAGAGTTCATTGGCTATTTTGTGAAGTTTTTGCTCATTCGTTTCCTAAAAATGGAACAGATATTTACACATCAGGAAAGAAACCTTGGCCAATATTTCTCAAGGAATAAACAGTTCTTCAAATGGTCTGATCCGAAGAGTCTTCTGAAGCTTCTCAGGTACCTGACTGCTTTTAGCTATCAAGGAACATCCAACCAGAAATTAACAAAATTAGAAACAAACACTCTGCTAGATTTAAACTGTAGCTACTTCTTTGACCTCTGCAGCAGTCCACACTACTTCTACCTCTTCCTTGAAATACCTTTTCTCCTTTTCTGTTCCAAGCACTATACTTTCCTCATTTCCCCCTATGTTTCTCATGCTACTCTTTGGAAATGATTTCATCACTCTCTCAGTTTGTCTCATCATTAGCTCCATGCATGTAACTTTTTGCCTTACAAAAATATTTTATTATGAAAAAGTTCAATTATATAATAAAGAAAATAGTAAGATGACGACCCCCCCATGTGTCTATCACTGAGATTCTGCAACTCTAAACTCATTGTTAAGTCTTGTTTCATCTATGCTCCCCCCTCACCTCCTCCACCCATATTAATACTTTGCATTAAATGACACTTTATTATTATTTCTTCAGTATATATTTATTTTACCCATATATATATATATATGTATAACCTTGCAGTTTCATGATGATAGGAACATTTTTTCTTATTAGCTCCTCTATCTCCTGTTCTTACTACAATGCTTCAATAAAAACACTGACATTCAATATAATATTGCAGAATGAATGAATGAGTAGCAGTCTCACATGCCTAACTATTGCTGGACATTTATTACTACTTTGACATGCAACACAAGACTAAACCCATCTTTTCTGGAAAACCTCTACCCTACCACCAATCCTTAAACTTTTCCATTCTGTTAGTGGTACCATCCTTTTCTAGTTACCCAGCATTGGAATCTTGAATTACAGTAGCTTAGTTCTCTACAATTACATACAGACAGCCACTGAGGCCTATTCATCATATTATGTCTTTAGCATTTATTCTTTAAGCTTTCATCACTGCCACCCTGTTTCACTCATTTCATCTTAAGCCCAGATAAATCAACAGTTTCAAATGATCTGATTCCAGTACCTTTTGGCTTTAGCCCACCCTGCATATTGCTGCATGAAGACTCTTTCTAAATCTCTGCATTGCACACATAATCCTACTTCCCACAGGGGAAAAAAAAAAACAAAAAAAAACCCTTCACTAGTCCTCCTCTCATTGACAGGATAAAATCTAGACTCTATGTACCAATCACGGTCATTCAAACCTATACTCACCTCCTCAAACTTCTCATTGTATCCTTTAAAAATTATATATATATGTGTGTGTGTGTCTGTGTATATGTTTTTTATTGTTTTTAAGAGATGAAGTCTTACTATGTTACCCAGAGCTCAAACTCCTCAAGCGATCCTCCTGCCTCAGTCTTCCAAGTATCTGGGACTAAGGCAGGCACCATTGTGACCAACTTCTCATTTTATTTTTACAGGCACCTGTCCCTCCGAACATACCAATCAAATGCATGTTTGATTATCATTCTAACATGACCCTGGCCACCCTCAAACCTTTCTTCTTTCTATCCTCTCAGCATAACATATGCTCTTGCTGTACCTGAAACTTACTTTCCTTTTGACAGCCTGGTGAATTTCCATGCCTTTTCCTTGGAGACTTCTTCGACTATTTAAGGCCCTTGGGCTTGGTCCCATTAGAACTTATTTTATATTTCATATGCAAATCTTTACTTTGAGAAACTACTACCTAGTACTTTGCTGAAATAACCTTTCACTGTAGGAGATTATGAAGTACAATTAAGATTTTAGGAAAAACTCCAGTGCAAAGTAGACCAAAGTATATTTTAAGCCAGTGTCTAATTTTTTTGTGTATACATACTACATTTTAAACTCTGTATAAATGCAACTAAGTTCTATGCATGCTTCACTGTGTTCAACACACAAGATCTACTTTATGTTTTATATGCTTTATGCTGTATCTGTTCTACTGTGGAAAGTTTATGTGTTGCTTCTTACAGCAGCATTGGAATGAGATACTTTTATGTGAAGTCTTTAGGTAAACTAATACAATAGTATTTAAATAACCTGTGGTCTCGGAAACACTAAAATAAGAATCATATGGTTGTCAAATTCTACAGTTAGTCAAAGTTTTGATTTAATAAACTTGGGAAAAAGTAGTGGCATTGTTGGTTGACTGCCTGGCACTCCCCTTACATTTTTTTTTTTGAGACAGAGTCTCACTTTGTTGCCCAGGCTAGAGTGAGTGCCGTGGAGTCAGCTAGCTCACAGCACTCAAACTCCTGGGCTCAAGCATTCTGCTGCCTCAGCCCGAGTTGCTGGGACTACAGCGATGCCGCCCATGCCGGGTATTTTTTCTTCTTTATTGTTGGCAATTAATTTCTTTCTATTTATAGTAGAGATTGGGGTCTTGCTTTGCTCAGGCTGGTTTCGAACTCCTGACTTGAGCGATCTTCCCGCCTCGGCTCCCAGAGTACTAGGATTACAGCCTGAGCACCACTTTAAATCATTAATAAATAAATACATATGTGGTAATTATATAAACCTATCAACATTTCAGAGGAAGATACTGAAAATGTAGCATATTCACAATATTCCCTGCATCAATGCTATAACCTTTCTTTGTTTCTTTAGGCCAGATCTACTGAGGCATAATTATAAACAGTAAATTCACTCGTTTTGAGTATAAGTTCTAGGAGTTTTGGTAAATGCATACAATCATGTAACAGACACTACCACAGTCAGAGCAGATTATTTCCATTACGCCTAAGTTTTTGTCTTCCTTGGTCGACCCTCTCTCTGCTCCACCTCAGCTCCTGGTAACCACTGATCTGTCAGTGAATGGATTCATTGTAAGTGCTTTTTTTTTTTTTGTATGTGCCTTTTGACTCTAGCTTCTATCACATAGCAAAATGCATCTGGATAGTCATACATCCATGTTGTATTAATGTTTTATCAGTTTTTTGTAAAGCCTTAGTGATGATGTAGCTTATGACTACACTTTTATGATGTTCTGATAACAGCTTGACATATCTTCAACGAAAACCCAGCAGAATTTGTGCAAGATAAATAATAGATTTTCATAGTCACAGGATATGTTAAACAACAGTCTTAACATTATTGCTGTGCAGGAGGTCACCCCAGAGGTCTTCCACAATTCTACAAATCTTAAATAGAAGCTAGAAGAAACGATCTTTGCTGACTGCAAGCATACTTCAGCTGAACCTAGCAAATTGTCGATATCCTGGCCTATTTTGCAAATTCCAAAGGCGATGCCAGCAGTTTTTAGCAAAGGTATGCCCTTCCACACAGATGGTCTTCTACACATTAGGTCCCGACCTTGCCAAAGCCACACACAGATAAGCAAAGTAAGCTTGCTGACGACGTCCAGTTCAACATTCACTTCACACATATATGCTTGCAGAAGAGTTAGTAGGGATTTGTGGAGGAGATAAGGAAATCGTGGATCATTGGAGCCTTGCTTTAGGTTAATCACAATAATATCACCATATAAGAACAGTTACACATTCACTATGCTTTTATGTGCCAGGACGCTGTACAGCATTTTACATAACGGACTAATCCTTAAAATTCGTAATAAGTAACATTATATTGCTGTTTTTAGGGCCAGCAACCACCATTTTACAACAACAAACTGAGGCTCAAAGATGGCAGGGTCACACAGCAGAAGGTGATAATGTCGGTACAACCAGATAGGAGGTATTATGATTAAGTATTGTGATCTCTCT